CTTTATAGCACGACTCAGGTCTTCACAATGTGCTATGAAAATGGTACACACAGCACATCTCTCCTGGCCCCACACATCTTTCCAGGTAGCTGGTCACCGTTACTGCTCCGTCCTTTCCCAGGCCTCTCCAGACACACGTACTGGTGGGAAAATCCCTCTCCTTAACGTCCCATTGACTCAGTACCTTCCAGTGGTTTGATGTGGGGGTGGGGGTGGGGAGGGGTACAGTCCCCAGTGAGGAGTGTGACCAGAGGCCCGAGACCCCGCTCCGTGCTTACCTGCCGTGACCCGTCTGTGGATCTCAGCTTTCTCATCTGTACAAGCGGGGAGAGTATTGAGGCTGCCTCCCCCAGCTGTCATGACAAGTAAACTGAATGGTGGGTGCCCATTGACGGGACAGCACCCACCCCGGTTCCCACCTCCAACACGGGGATGACCACAGGCTCCTGCAGGGGCCGCTGGCAGAGGTAAGGTAGCTAATACAGGTCAAGGACCTGGCGCGCAGAAAGAGCTCCCGAATGGGAGGTCTTTCCTCTGTGTACAGACATAGCCCCTAATCTAAACACTTTTGTTTTACGGTCCATTTGTGACTTCTTGGTTTTGCAAAAAGAATTACAAACCAGCAGCTCTGCCCACGTGGTTTAATTCTGGAGCTGACGGGAGACTCCCGGGGGCTGCCTCCTCTGGGTAGGCCAGGATCCATCTTCTCCTCTTCACAGCAGTGCTTCACCTCTTGAGATGATCCAACCATTTGAACATGAAACTTAAAGCAAAATAAGCGGCTGGGCACGGCAGGGGAGCCCAGGAAGACCGCAGGAGCACCGACTTTCACGGGCGAGGAGCGCGAAGCCGCTTCGCTGTTTCCTCGCTTTGCCCAGGGCCGGCGGGGTGGCCGTCATTGACTCCAGGGCCCCGGGAATGAATAAAACGCTTTATTTCTCCCTGGGCACCAAGACCATGCCCGTAGGCTCCTGCAGGCTCCACCCCGTCCTGGGGAGAAAGACGCCAGATGGGGAGCAATGTTTCTTAAGCGGTGTGTTTCCTGGCCTGCTTTATCAAACGTAAGGAACATTTCTTTAAATGTTGCGGCTAAATATAGCTGGGGCTTGGTCAGCTAGAACATTTTTAGAAAGCACATTACAAATCAGGAATGTTTTGGAGAAATAAATAAACTTTCCCACATTTTTGGACTTGGCCTCGGCGCTGCGGGCTCCGTCTTGAGAGGGGGCCGGGGGTGATGCATAATTCATGCCCCCTGCTGCAGGTGCCCCAGGGACACTGGAGGGGACTTTTTCCCCCTCGCTGGGCGGGAGTCCATAGGACAGGGACGGAGGCCCTGTCAGGTCAAGGAGGGCCAGAGTCTGATGGGGGGCCCCTGGCGGCCTTAGCGAGCGGGGATTGAAGAGAAATTAATCTGCTTCCACTGCGCTTCATTTCTCGCCTTTGCTGTTCATTCTGGGAGTTCGCTGGACTGCGGCAGATGACAGGCCCCAGAGGGTGCTGGCCACCCCGCCTGCGCCCTGTCCCCCGTTCGGGGGCCTAAGAGGGGACCCACGGGGTGCTTCCCAGTGGTGCCCAGGCAGGTCCCTCACAGCGGTGAGCCGCATCTGCTCACCTATTCTTCCTGTCAGCCTGCATCTGTGCTTAATTCCCGTGCGATCAGAGTGGACTCCAAGCGTCTCCCCATGGCCCCAACGGTCCTTCCTTTACTTTGGGTTGAGCTGCCCGCCCCTAAAACACCCACGGAGAAGTTACATGTGTTCCCGCCGGAAATGCAGAACACGTAGGGAAGTACTGGTGACAGAACGAGCCTGCCCACCGTGAGCCCCTGTGATGGTCCTGCCTCTAACAGATTACGGCGGGTACTTCCCGTGTATTGTGGCATTTCCCCCGGACTATACAGACTAGATACATGTAGTCGAGGGGGAAACACCAACATCAGTATCGAATCTATCTGTACCTGTAGGTAATAGAGAAATGCAGGTATGTGTGTGTGTACATATGCATACACACACATATAAAATGTTCTTCAGTCTGTCAGTGCCACCACCACCACGACCATCACCACCGAAGAGCTTTCCAACATTCCCAGTGTGGGGCACATGCAGAGTTCTGGGCACAGAGGCCTCTGTAAGGCACAGTCCTTTACTAGCCAGCAGCCTGGCAACAGACAGATGAGCAGGTGATGGATTTACTTATTTACTAAACTTTGTGTTTTGAAATTAGGAGATTCGTGGAGAAGATGCGAAGACATAAATGTACAGGGAGGTGAGACTTACTGTGTGTGTGAATTTCCATAGCCATTTTCTCATTTATTTTAACCACCCTCACGTGTGGTAGGCATTACCAGGATGGGGGGGCGTGTCCTAAGGCACGTGACTAGCCAGCTTCAGAATCCATCCTGGAGCACTTATCTTCTCACTCCGGTTCTTGCTGACCCCCTGGTGCGACGTCTGGCATCAGGGATTGGGGACAGAGAATCCAAGTGACCACTGGCTGACAGATCCAGTGACCTCGCTGTCCCCTCCCTTAGTGTCGTACGGAGCCGTGCCGGCTTTTCTGTCTAAGCCATGCCAGAATTTAAGTTCTGTTTACATGTTGGTGTCTGTTCTCCCAGCAAGAACGACAGAGCGACGGTTGGAAATGTGGGTTTTGTTGCCTGTCTGGGCTGTGGGGTCTCTACCCGCACCAAGCAGTGGGATCACCAGGGGGCCTTTAAAAAATACCGACAGCTGGGTCACAACCCAAGGTGGTATTGTACAAAGCTCCCCAAATAATTCTAGCACGTGGCTGAGTTTGGGAATGGTTTCAATATCGGTGAGGGAGGCTTTGAGGTCAAGTGCCTGGCTTACTCAGCAAAACCATGAAGCAGCAGAAACAGGAGCTTCAGGGCTGAACGACGCAGCCCCGCTGCTGACATCACAAGCCACATGTCTTTGCTGCTCCCTCCTCGCCCTCTTGGGAGAAGGCATTGGGCACATGATCTTTGCCACATATCAATTTACTTAATAATTTCAGCAACCTGGGAGGTTGCCTGGAGTCTTCTCGCCCGATGGATGAGGAATCAAGGTTGGACAGGTGCAGCAGACAAGAGCACAGAGTCAGGAAGAGCCGGAGTCGAACACTGAGGTCACGCCGTCTTCCATGCATCATGGAAGTTAAAATGCATTCCGGCCCCCGGCGGAGGAAAGCGCCTGCATCTAGGTGTGCGGGAGGGGTGGGAGGCTGGTGTTTCTCCACTGGTGCCTAGGGGCCTCTGTAATCAGATGATTGTTCTTCATCTAACCCAATGGTGAGTGTCCCCAGATGCCAGTCCCGTGACATGCCTTGGGAATAGGTAAATTAGCCAAACCTGGGCCTGCCCTCGAGGGGCTTACATCCATGAAGGGAAACCGGGGAAGCAAACCGGCCTGCACCAGCTGATGTGCTCTGGACAGTATGGCTGCTCCAAATCTTTTAAACACCTTCCACTTCTGGAGAGAGTCCCATACTTTCATTCTGGTCTTCCGAATGTAAAAAGAGAAGAAAGAAACCCCTGCTCATCTGTGTGCCTGGGGAGGTCCAGCACCAGATGCACAGGTATGCACCTTGGCAGCCAGGCAGAGAGGAGGGCAAGGAGTGGCACTTTGATGCCATGGATCACCGAGCTGTCCTGGAACCCGAAGCTGTGGTGGCCTCTTCCTCATCCAGAGTCTTCCCACCCTGGAGCAGGCACTGGTGTCCCTGGAGGTCAGCTCAGCAGGAGCCACCCTGGCAGCTCAGCCTAAATCCACTGTGTAGCCACGGCAGAGATTCCGCGAGCTATGTGCAAACGCTTTCTGTGAAAACGAGCAAGAGTTTGCAGTGAAAACTTAAGCCAGTAACTTGCAATAAGGTCTGTGCAGGGCTAATCATCACCTTGTAATCGCTGTGTGCTTGGCCTCTGCTGGGGACTGTCCCAAGTGCTTTAGGTGCAGAGTCCCTGTGAGCTGGAAACTCCAGTTTCTCCACATTTACAGCTGGTTCAGAAAGCTTGTTACTTCCAGGTTCCCGGAGCTGGCAAAGGGCAGAGCTGGGCCAGACTCTGGCTCTCTGGCTCCGGAGAGTGCCTCTCACCACTGCACTCGATCCTCCTGCTCACAGCCTGTGTCACTTGCCATATGTCAAGCTGTGTTCTGAGGCCTTTCTGTGCACCATCTCTTCAGTCTTTAAGCAAACCTGGCAGGTGGGCATTCCTGTGTCTGTACTTCCCTGGTAGCTTCCCCAGGTTGTATAACAATTCCTTGGCAAAGTATCACACCTGGTTGTACTTGTCCTTAAGGCTCTCGGCTTCTCTTCATCATCTGGCCAGTGGTGAGTATATGGGGCCGGCACCTGCATACCTCAAAAAGGGAGAGGGACCGGCGAGGGATCCTGTGCAGAGGTCCGCATGGGGACTGCATACCAGCATCATTCAGGGGCTCAAAAAGTGTGGTGCCTGGACCCTGCTTCCAGAGATTTCCATGTGCTCAGCCTGGGGTGGGGTCTGTGCCCACCCACTGATTCCAATGCAGAGTCATGGTTGAGAGCCATTAATGTCATCTGCTCCACTACTGGTCTGGTACAGTGGTTCTCAGTGGGGGCACTTCTACCCTCCAGGATGGGTGGACCAGGCTTCGGGCTATTCTGATCATCATGACTCAGAGTGGGATGCTTCTGGTATCCAGTGGGTTGAGAAAGAACAGCCCCTCACAACAGGAAGTTATCCGACTCAAATGTTAACAGCAGCAAGGGTTGACAAACCCTGTGTAATTTCTCGTGAACGCCTGACACTGAGAGAACATAGCTAATGGCATAAGCCATGTTTCTATCATCTTCTCATCTCTGTGGGATTTCCATGCTAAGGGCCATATAATGCCTCTGATGTAGGGTGCCTTTTTTGACTTTCTGGACCAGTAAGCCAGAAAACAGTAATGTCACAATGTTTAGCAGCCACATTAAAATGAAATACCAAAAAGCCAGTGACATTAATTTTAGCCATCTGTTTTATTTAACCCCATACATCCAGGATACTTCATTGTTTTGGTACTAAGTCTTTGAAGTACAGCGTGTGTTTCGTGCTTTCAGCACACTTTGATCTGGATGAGCCACGTTCGTGTGCTCAAGAGCAGCTCGTGCCCGGTGGTGGCTCCTGGGATGGCACAGCTTCTGAGTTGCCTTTTGCACACTTGTATAGAAGTCTGCAAGACTGCAGCTAAGCAATTCTTCCCCGGTAAAGAGTTTCCCATCTGACTCTCCCCATGCTGCAATAAGCCCTATGCAGACAAACAAAAAAATACCATTTTCCATTTAGCTCTTTTTCTCCTATGACGTTCAGCCTAGTGCCTGCCACACAGTGGGTACCCAAAAAGCGTCTGTCACAGGACTGCTTTTTCCTGACGCCTGACTCCCAGCTTATCCTAACCAAGTGCTGCTAACTAACAGACAGTAAATATCTGTAGAACAGACGCATAATCTTATGGAAGCTCTTCTCCCATTCCTGACCTTTCCACCCAGATGGGGTGCTCTCTGCTCACTCAGCCTGTGGGTGGGTGGTGGGGCTTATCTGAGGGTGAAGATGGGCAGAATGAACAAGGCAAATGGGCCCCATCCTTTCTCCCCTGAGAGTAAACTGCCCTCAGGAGGCACACAGTCCACTTTGCTCTCAAGGGTCTGGGGCCACGGTGGCCCAGAGCCCCCACTGGCTGGCGGGCGGGGCGATTGCTCACCGTGGATATAAGCCTCAGCCTCCAACGGAGTTCTTCCAACAAATGTTTGGGCTTCTCTCTGCCTGATCCCACCATTCCCCAAATGCTTTGGAATTCAGGCAATCTCTCAGTTTTGCTGAGAACCCCACTGAGGGGCAGAGAAGAGATGTGAGCTCCCCAGGCATGAAATTATATCTCAAAGGGTCTCATGGGAGCGCCCAGATCTCAGTTTGGGGTGCAGGGGCTGTAGCTCAGCTCATGAGAAAAATGCTAACTGGAAGCACATCTCCTCACTCTGGAAGTGCCTCTGCAGACAAGGACCTCCCTGAAGAATCAAAGGGAAAGGCAGTCTTTATACCGCTGTGGACGAGACCCAGGGGTTCCATTTTTAATCTCCACAACTTCCCAGAGGGACAGGGAGGCCGTTCAAACTGCAGACTTGACCTCTGGATTTATAGGTTTTCAAGTGAGTTGTATCCCATCTCCTCTGGCAAGGGCGCTCCCTGGAGGCTGGAGTTGTGGGGATGGGGGGATGGGGAGGAAGGAGGAGGCGGGGTGGCAGATGGACACTGTGAGAAACAGGAAAAGTCCTTCCAGCTCCATTAAGAGCAAGTGGTTGTCTTTCCCAGCAGCAGAAATTCTCCACGGGCCCCATAATTCATACCATAGAGCCGAGCTCGGTCTCAGCTCAGAGAAGCTGTGTTAGGCAGGACCACGCGATGGTGATGCGTGTGCAGGTGTGCGTGTGCATGTGCTTGTTCGTGCGTGGTGGAGAAGCTGGAGGGCAGCGGAGCCTGGGGCATCAAGAGTCCCCATCACTGACTCTTCGTCTGCCCGCAAACTGAGTGGGATCCTGCCGGCACCCAGCACTTTCTCCACCCCCAGCCCCACGGCCACCCTCACGGTTCTCAGAGTACTTCCCAAGTCTTTGTTTTCATTAGCAAAGCAATATGCAATAATAGTTGTTAAAATAATTGTATTTCTGTTTTTACATCTGTAAAGATTAAGTTAAACAGTATGAAGCCCATTAAACTATTTCATGACACGCTGCCGTAAATTGCCCCTCATTCCCACTGCTACTATTATTCCAGAGTAAACTTCAGAGATCGGGCGGCTGCCATGAAGGGTTATTTATAGCTGCTCATTCATCAATAAAAAACTTCAAAAGGAATCTGTTGCTTTTCTATTGGGAAGCCAAAGAAAACTCACATAAAGACGGCCCTGTTAAGAAACAAAGCGGAGGCGACCGCAGGACATTTCGTTAAGTAAAATTCTGATTTCTAACAAATACCATGTCGCAGAAAGAGATTGCTGGCAATGTGAATCCATTTAAGCGGCTCAGTTCCCATTGGATAGTTAAAATAAGCTGTTAAACAGTTGTATTTACATTGGCTTCAAAGGGCCCGGGCCTCCTCGTTGGGGTTTAATAGTGTAACAGGTTTGTGATCTGGACGTTGAAGGCAAGTCTTTTCATCTTAAGCAAGCCCAGAGGACAGCCTCATCCCCAAGCCCAGTGCTTATGTTTGAACCTACAGTTTTCTTGGCTTTTAGCGTGAAACTGGACTGGGGGTTGGAGGAAAATCTCCTGTAATGGGATCACCATTTATTCCCAAGTCCTTGTTCTTGGGACCGTCCTTAGAAGCAGGAATTACTGGCTCCGTTTTGTAGATGAGAAAGCTGAAGGCAAGTGAATTTCAGGCCATATCTGACAAGCTGTGCTAAAAAACATGGCCCTTCTTCACGACCCCGCCTCTGGCAGCATCTTAGGATTGTAGGGATTCATTTGGTATCAGGTCCTGAAGCATGACAAGATGTAGCCATTTGCGCACTCCCAGACAACACTGCCACCAAACACCTGGCGTACCTGTGAGCACAAAAATGCCAGTGGAGACATGCTGGTGATGGGTGCCCTGGCACCTCTGTGCATTCCCATGCCTCAGTCCTGGACGGTCCTGGGGGGCACCCTGCTGGGTAGCCGGGTAGGCGGTGGAGGTGAGTTGTTGGAAGGACTCTGTGTGGGGACAGCTTGTGCTTCCGGAGGCAGAGGCTGGCATGTTGGCAGTGACAACAGTCACGAGCATTCACAACTATGGGGCGCCTAGCATGTGCCGGGAGCCCTGCCAGGTGGCAGCACTACAGGCCTTCGGTTGTTTACTCCCCCCAGCCCTGTGATGTAAGCACTCCCCAGACAAGGGCGTTGAGGCCAGTGAGTTACCTTGCTCAAGGTTACCCAGCTGCGAGGTGGCAGTGCTGGGACTGAGCTCAGAACAGGACTTGGGACGCTGCATGGGGGCAGGACAGGGCCGAGGCACCGATGCAGGTTGCTCACTGCACAGAACAGGCAAGGCTGGGCCGAGGCTGCCAGCAGCCAGCCCGCCTGCTGTCTTGCTGAGCATGCTGGCGAGGCGCCTCTGAGTTCCAGGGGGCCCAGGGGCCAGCCTATCTGGGCTGGGAATCTGGCTTTGCTGCTTGTTGGCCAGTTATTCCACCTCTGGGAGCCTCAGCTTTCTCATCCCTCAAGTGGGTAATAGCACCAGGGCGGTGGTGGGGATTAGGTGGGATGAGGTCATCTACCTGCAGCGGCTGGCACAGCATGATCGTCTACACGGCGAGCAGTGCTTGAGCTACAGGGCAGGACCAACGCCACCAGCCTCATGCGCAGAGGGCCATGCATCCAGTCCAGCAATGCTCCAAGTGGGAGCTGTATGGCCCTCATTCCACTGGTGAGCCATCTGGGCCACAGAGAGGTTGGGAAGCTGGCCCAACATCACACAGCTCTGAGCGGGAGAGCTGGGAGGCCGGCCCTGGAGCCCATTCTCTTCCCGCTCTTCCCACCCATCTCTTCAGCAGGTTCTCAGCAATTAGGGAGGGAATTGGCACCACCCTTCAGAGAGCACGGACATGGCAGAGATGAGAGCTGGTGCTTATTCTGGGTGCATTTTTCACACCTCTCAAGGGGCACCACCCACAAGTGTTCTCAGAGTTGAGCTCTAGACTGTTGTCCAGGGGCTGCTCCCCATGTGACCCAGAGATGCCGCCTACGTGTGGCTTAGGGACTGGGACCTGGATCCCGTCCAGGGCTGCCTACCTGGGCGGCTGGCCCTGAGTGGGACCAGTGCTCCCTGCACTCAGCAGCCTGTATCAAAAGGGAGTTGGCCCCTGTGATGGCTGGGGACTGTCCAGGTGTAACACATTCAGTCCTTTGCCATTTGAGCTCAGAGGGGCCCCGATCATGTACGTCCAACCACAGAGCATTCTTCAGTGACCACACAGGTGGCCCTCTTCCAGAGAAGCCCCTTAGACTTCTCATGAACAAGCCAGGGGAACCCCAAGTTCCCCCGTCATGACCCAGAGTGTGGGAAGGAGGCTGGGTAGCCAGAGATGAAAGAAAACGGGAGTCTGTACACCAAGGCTAAGCAGACCGAGTGGACAAGGACCCTTAGCTCCCCCTCACGGCCATCGGCAGACTCTTGACTCGTGTACCCTTGACATGTTTTACAGGAACTTAGACCCCAGCAGACGGGCCACCTGTTCACAAGCACGCAGACCCCAGACCAGGCGAAGCAAGAAGACTGAGGACTAAGGTTCCCGAAACAGTCCCCTGTCACCTCGCCACTGGCCATCAGAAGGATGGACACACCTCTCCAAATTTCCTGTAATTTTACCTTTAAACACCCTGCTCGTAAACCGATAGCATGTTTGGCGCAGTGAGCACTACCTGCCCGCTCTCCTTGCCTGGTGCCCTGCAGAGAGGCCCTCTTTCCTTCACTGCATCCCCAGGGCCACGGTCAGCTTTGCTGCAGGTCAGGCGAGGGGACCCAGGCCTGTTTGGTTAGAGAACACTTCTGGAGTCCAGACTGATTCTCAGGCCATGCACTTTGCTTTGTTCACAGCCCGAGGCAGGGCCCACCTTGGAACAGGGCGGACCACTGTGCTTCCGGCTGGGAGCTGCTTTGGGTCCCCACAGTTGGCTGCATGGGAAACTTTGAAGGGTGTCTCTGACAGGGGGTGCAGACAAGAACGAGATGGAAGTGCTGCCATTTGTAGTTTTCTCTAATTTCCTTCATGCAGTCAACGAGAACAGGTGACTACAAAGACTAGCCCCACTTACGGCATGGAGAGCTGGAGCCGCTTCCCGGCCTGTCTGTGGAGGCCTGTGCTTGTGGGACGGAGGAGAAGCCACGCCCAGCCTGGCTGGCACCCCTGCTTGTTGAGTGGGGACCTCTCCTTAGCCCCTTCTTAGCCTTGGACAAACTCAGCTGCCTTTTGGATTTGCCAACCATCTCGCACTGTTTTTAATGTGCTTGGGGTTTGATAAACCCGAAAACACATTTGCCGATCCCCTGCCCCCTTCGTTTTAAACCCATGTGGATCTTAAGAGGAATTTAATCCATGTGTTTCTGATTCATTTGCTCTTAACTCATCAGAACCTTCTTTCAGAAAAGCTATATGATGTCCAAGGAGCTTTTGGAGTGGGGTTTTAAATCTTTTAAACTCTTTCCTTCCCAGCTTTGAAGTGAGATGCTGCCTTTTCGCCAAGCATCAGTGAACTCCCAGGCTGAGCAAAGGCCCAGGTCTGGCTTACGGTCAGGGAGCTGTGACCCCCCAGCGGGCTGCGCCGTGGCAAAGCCCTCCTCCTTCAAAGACCTGCCAGACCCCCACCCCAGATCCAGGACTGGTGTCCAGGACCCTTGTCACTGGCTGGGAGGGGCCAGTAATGATGCAACCCCTTCCCCTTTCAGGATTTGTCTAGACTGCCTGGACAAGGGCAGCCAGAGGACATTTCAGGGGAATGTAACTTACGAATGACTCCTGGTTCATAAAGTCTGAATTATGATGGAAAGTTTAGGACATACCCAAGGGTGGAGAAAGCCCCCAGGTACTTACTCACCAAGCTTCAGTGAGGACCAGCTCAGTACAATCTTGGTTCTGAAGTGAAATCTGGGCTTCATGTAATTTCATTCTTAACTATTTCAGTATTTATCTCTAAATCATAAGCAAGGACTCGTTAAAAACCTGCAAGACCTTGATCACAAATGAATAACAAATTCCTCTGTCATGGACTATTGTATCAGTGATGATTTCCCCCTTATTTTCTCGTAACTTTTTGACAATTGGGTTCTTTGCATCAGGACCTAAGTACCTGCATCTGGCGGCTGTGCCGCAGAGGCCGCTCGGTCCTTTGGTTTGATTGCTCTCACCTTTGTCTTCTTTTCCTTTCAGCAATTTGTGTGCGGCGCAAACAGGTCCTTCACCACGTGGCAGAGCCCTGCTTTGAATTCCTGCGATTATGCCCTTGGATTTAGCACATTTCTCTTCCCCTACAAAACACAATTTCTTAAGGTGAATGGATTGAAAACTACTTCAGTCAATCCTGTTAGAACTTATTTTACATTTTGATAGGCTTACATTTCCTCCTTCTACCTTGAAATATCCCCTTTTGGCCCTGCCTAGAACTCCATTCTCTGGGTTTATTTCGCACACACACGTTTTATTTATGTGGACCCAGTTATAAGACAGCCAATGTTGCACAGGCAGGACTCTGTTCCATCATGTAGGAAACCCGACCGGAAGGAGGAAAAAGCAGAGACATCCTGACAATGAACACCACTAAAGTGTGCTTTCCCGGGGTTCACTTGTAGGTGATGCGTGGATGCAGACACGTCCCTGGGTGACCCAGGGAGGAAGCTTTTCCCTTCCCGTTCCCTCCCACGCCACCTGCTACATCGAGGGGAGTACGTTTCTAACACCTGGCAGTCCTCTCGTTTCATGAGGACAGACCGAGGCCTCGGCAGGGAGCCTTAGGCGGCTGACACTGGCTTTGTTTTTATTTTACCTACTTTTAGTTACAACCTACTTCTTGAGAACAGAGGGTTTTCCATAGCTGGCATCCTTTACTGTACTTTTACTAAAAATTAAACTGAGAAGTGTGGGCCCACCTGAAGGGGGATGCTCACTGGGCGGCGGCCCAGGGCGCGGCCACGGAGGCCCCACACTCACGGGCATGGCTGACGGCCCGCAGGCAGGGCCGGGCCGGGGAGGGGCCTGCGGACGGCACCGACGAGCTGGGCTCGGCCCCCTCGCTGCACAAGGCCTGTGCGCACAGGCAGAGCGGCCTCCACTCGGGGCAATCCGCTCGCCTCCCGCGCAGAGGGGAGGTGCCCTGCCCTGAGCGCCCGCCTCGCCTCGCCCACAGGGCTTCGGGGGCGCAGCCGAGGGGCGGCGTGTCAACGCGTCTGTAGACGGCAGTGTCCGTCCCCACGCCGCCGTCTCCGGCCTCCCTTCCTCCTCCTCTCTTCTTGGCCCTCCACGCACTCAGCATTTTTCTGGAACCGTACGAGGAGGTGACATGAAAGCAAGCTCGGCTCCGTAGAGAGCGGGTGTCTGCAGGGCACCAGGCGCCGGCCACCTGCGCTGGGGCCCCTCCTGCCGCTCTGGTCGGGCCGCACCCCCGGGCCCCAGCGATTGGCCCAGCACCAGACATGTGACCCCCTGCCGGGCCAACCAGAGTCCTCGATGGGCTTCTCTCTGGATCTCTGGGGATGGGAGGGAGCCCGCAGGTGCTGCCGCTTTGCAGGTTCCCCGGCTCCCCAGCATTGTCACCGGAAGCCCCCGGCGGCCCGCTGCGCGGATGGCTGGCCCCGCTGGCGCCTTGCCGTTGGATAAGCTCACCGAGTGCTTTCCTGTTTACCGCTTCTCCCAGCCTCCCTCTGACAGGGTCAAGGATGACCCATCAGCTCGGTGATTTGCTGAGCACCTGCCGGGATCGGGACACCCGCTGCAGGAGGGGGCAAACACGCGAGGGAGATGGGATTTCTGTACCAAAGTGGGCGACACTCAAGAGTCGCTATCCGTTTGATGAGGACACAGAGGCCCCAAGCGAGGGTAGGTGGCTTGCCCGAGGGCTCTGAAGGATTCGGAGGAAGCCGGAGGCGGGGCCATACCTCGGCGGTTCCCTGTCGGGGCCCCGCTGCAGCCTGCTGCCCCTCTGCGGTGTTTGAGAAGAGCTCGCCGTGGGACTGTTCTCTCGCCTGCTTTCCACCCCTTAGCTGAGCGGGCTTGGGCTGTCCCTCAGTGTCCCCCGCCATGAAACAAAGGACTGCTTACAGAGGGCTCGGGCTTGGAGCCTACGGCAGGGGACGTGCATGCCAGTCTTGGCTCTTTGCTTTGCTTCGGCTATATTTTCAAGCCCGCTGAACCTCACAGATCTTATCCTTGGGCGCAGTCTGAACAGCCTAGTCGCTTATTGCCTTATGCCTGGCACGCTTTCTATCTTCCTGGCTCCTGGAGACTGAATCTGCAACCCCTGGGATATGTATGCAAAATCTTACATACTTTACAGTCTTGACATTCCTTTGGTTATATCTTACTCCTTAAAAAAATACATAAATATATATATATAGGTACAACATACACAGAGTTTACACATGTGCGCACAATTTTGATCACCTGTCAGTTCGTTCTGTGGAGTATTTCTTCTCTTTGGGATGTCCCCCGTCCCAGTCAATCCCTTACCTTAGATGGAACGACTATTTTGACTTGGCACCATGACTATCTCTATTCCTATCATATAAATGGAGTCACACAGTGTAGACTCTTCAGCTGGACGCTTTCTGCAGCATTGTGATGCAAGGTGCATCCACATGGCCCTAGGGGCCACAGGCTGCTCCTTTCTCCCCGCAGTGTCATGCTCCCCAATAGACTGCACAGTCCATCCCCCATGAACAGGCCACGGTCTGCTAGCTTGCCAGGTGTGCAGGCTATTTTCAGTTCTCAGTTACTGTGAATAAAGTTGCTGTGAGCCTTCCTGCACGTGCCTTTGTGAAGGACACAAGCCCTCATTTCTATTGAGTGTGTGCTCAGGAGAGGGTCAGGGGCTGCCATGGGGAGGCACATGCATGTTTAGCTTGGGAAGCTCTTGCCAGACAGAGTCCTGCTGAGGCGGGTCCCCTGCTCCTTCATTTCCTACTCTTTTCAGAGGCGCTGCATGTGCAGAAGCGTCCTTCTTTTTCTCCATTAATACCTGGCATACAGTAGGTGTGCAGCAAATGCAGTTAGTATTGGGGGTAGTGAATACAGAACAAACCCCCTTCCCATCACACCATCGTTGCAGGCAGGGCCAGCATCATTACTGCCATCACAGGGGACACTTGTGACCTGCTTGTTGCGTACTGATTGCCTCTCATCTTCCCACAGCCCCACATGCAAAGCTGGCATCATCATGCCTACCCTGCAGGTGGCAAAGCTCCCTGTAATGAGTTGTTTTGTCCCCTCCATTCCCAAGGGGTGGAGCTGGGATTCAGACCTGCTGAGCCCGAGCTGTCATCAGCCTGTCGGCTTCTGAGCGCCACTCCAGGCTTTGGTGCTTCCGGCAGCCCATTTCTCAGGCAGCTCTCAGCAGCCTCCCTGTGCCCTGGCATGGTTTCCAGTGACAGGCACATTTCTAGACAGTTTGGCCTCTCTTGGGGAGTCTCCAGGGGCTCTGGCTGTTTATAAATGGCCCCGGGGCCTTTTCCTTTACTGGCCTCTATTGACAAATAAATGGCTGACTCACAAGAGTAAAAACATACTTCTGGTTTAGAGCTGTGTAGAGTTACTAAAAGTTTGTTGTGTCTACTCACAACAGCCACAGCCTAAGATGAGGCAGCTCACTTGATTGTAGGACAAATAGAGAAGTATTTCCCCTCCTGACTCAGTCGCTGTCACAGTGACAGGGCTCACAGGTTCCAGGGGACGGTGTCCCTCTGGTGTCACGGCAGGGCAGTGGAGCACTGGGTTTGGAGCTGGGAGACCTGGCTGGGTGCCACTGCACCATCATTTCTCAGATGTGTGACCCTGGGCTAGTCACCTAACCTCCTTGAGCCTTGTCCGTCCCCGGCTGGTAAAATGCAAATCTAAAGCCTTGACTCCCAGGATTGTCAGGACGAGAGAGCAAACTCAAGCTTCAAACAAGCTGCCAGAGTGAACGCTTGGAGCTGGGAAGGGCTGGCCTGATCTGAGCTGGGAGAGGAGGGCCGATCAGATCACAATAGCCTGTTAAGGAGTAGGGACGCTGTGGTTTGGCGATGCCAAGTGTGTGGCATGTGTTCTGCTGCCTGCCCATCCTGTGCCCCTGGCAGACATTGCCAGTCGATCACAGTGTTTTTCCTGCTGGGGTTGGAAATGGAATCATGCAGTGGGACCTCTTGTGGAATCCCTCTTGGGAGGTGGCCTCAGGCAGCCAACTGGCAGGGCAGGTAAACCCTACTCGCAGCGCTTGCTGAAGATCGGCACCCCCTGGATGACGGGCAGTGCTCCCCTGGGCATCCCTAAAGTGGCTGAGGTGGGACGTCAGGCATGATAAATGCATTTGCGTTGACAATGCCAAAACATATTTCCTTTCACTCCTCACTGAAGACCTGACTGTGTGCCAGGAAGCCTCTGGCTGACCTGCTGTCTTACCCCTCCCCATCTCCATCCTTAGCAAAGAGACACAAGCCTCAGCTCAGAGCCTGCAGGCAGCCAGGTGTCCGGAGAGACGCTGAGAAGCATGGCTTGCTTTCATGGCATTGATTTCCAAGGCTACCTTCTCTTGAGGGCCCCCTCTATGGGTTTCCCATTTAGATTAGGGACATGGAGTTTCCTTATGAAGTGAGTCTTCTTAGGTGAAAGTGAGTCCGTTTGGAGAAGCACGCCTGAATGAGAGCACCGGGAGGGTGCCTGCTGAAGCGCAGGAAGGCAGGCTGCAACGGCTCTGGCTGCGGGGCCGGCCGCACAGCAATCTCCGTGGCCTGGGGAATTCAGTCTTCAGCTCTGGGCAGGGCAGCCTGGGGGGCCTGTTGCCAGACCCCATGGCAGCCGGATGGGAGCAGCAGTAGCTCTTGAGGGGATCCAGAGCAGGATGGGTGCACAGGGGGTGGGAAGAAGTGGGGCTTTACTGTGAGTGGTGCGGAGTGAGGAAGATCAGGGGGTCCTAGATGTCACCTAGGACTGGTGCCTTGGTGACGAGTTACCAGGACATGCCACTGGCCGCACACCGAGCACACCTGTCCTGAGCTTCTGAGCCTCCACAGAGTGCCACAGGCTGCCGCCCCCGGATCAGACATGGCTCACGCAAGCAGCCCTCTGCCTCCTGGCACTGATATGACCACCCCTATTTTATTGTCGAGGTGTTAGAGACTACAGTCGATGGGTCTTCGGGAGCAGAGCTGTCTCAAATCGAGACCCCCTGCCTCCTAGGCCACGTGCCTGTCCTAGGATGCTGTGGGGCAGCAGCATGGCTGAGCTCTTGGCCTGGGGAGGCACTTCTGTCTCTGTTTTTGTCTCTCATAGTCTCCTGCTCCTGAGACCAAAGAGTCGAGAGTTTCTCTGCTGGGCTGTGTCTGAGGGATGGACTTTTACAACTGTGGTGAGACAGTGTTTAACATGTCAGAGACAGAAATGGCCATCTGAGAGGCTGAAATGATATGTTTTGGCCCCATCTCTAACCTTTGGAATGATGCCCAGCTTCCGACAGTTTCTGATGCTGTGTGGGGGAAGGAAATCTTGTGCTGAAGAAAAGCACATTGCTTTTGTTCAATGTTCTATTCTCCCTTTTCACATCTTTCATTTCAAGAGCCCACAGACTCCGTGTCCCATGATATTCCTTACTACCTCCAAGTGGACACCCAGGTGGTCAGACCTGCACGTTCTTTCCAGGAAGGCATGAGGAGGAAACCGTTTTCTGAGAAACAGCTCCTCCTACTTCTAAAATACTCATGCTTCCTTGCAAGGAAACATGTCCCAGAGGGACTTGCACAAACCCTTTCAGTTAAGCCCTTTTTATCAGGAAGGGATCTTATCCCCTCTGCAGGCAATTTGTAGAAAACAGACATGTTCTGTGATTCACAGAAAACCCTCGCTGCAGATTAGTTGGCTCTTAGAGAACATGTCACCACAGATCACATTTAAAGTTCTATTTAGAATCTTGGAATCTGAATCAGATGCAAAACATGGCTTAATTAGATAATTAACACCGCCCCCCCCAAAACCCTGCTTTTTAAAAAATTCAGCACCATATTATTTAAAGAACAGTTGGTTAAATCCATTGAAAATCAGTATAATGGGTTATTTACAGGAAAAACTAGCTACATGCTTTTCTTTTATTCTTTTGAACAGTATGTTGTATTTGACATGAATATATACAATTTTGGTTTGAACTACTAGGTGACTCAGATTACTGGACAGAAAGAAAATATAGCTTTGTCAGGCCACTGGGAGACTGGAGTCACTATGACTCTGAGCCTCAGTCTGTTCATTGTAACACAAAAAATGTGGACTAAGTCATCCTCCCAATGCTACTATTTAATTAGAAGAAAATTAAAACCCAGAGGAACATAGATTTATACCATGATTAGTTAGAATGGTGCTGTCCACCAGAGGTTTGGGCGA